GCAGGATGAGCTCCGCCTGCTTGCAAAGCGGAACACCCACGATCCTGGCACGGCCGTTCTTTCTGGACACCCGCAAGGAAGTTGTGGGGCCATTTAGAGGCGAACAGAAGTCTTATGAAATGACTCTACCTTCTGCCAGCAAGGCACCCTCCCTATGTCCTGGATCACAACTCCCATCAGCCCAAGCAAGCATGAGATAGACGGCTAAAATCCCTGATAGGACTTCATTCTGGCGGAGCAAACTGCGGAAACGTGAGCCATGGTGAACAGGGCTTTTGCTCATCACGATGGGCTATCCGTGGTGATTGCACAAGGCTGGGGAAGGCACCATCATGTCGCAAACCTGGGCAATCATGATGTGAGGTGCTCCAAGGCAGCCCTCCCAGACCTTGGGCCCGCAACACCCAGAATGCCCAGTCAATGTCCCTGCTGGGAGGGAATTCTGGGAGTTGTGGCCCAAATGCCTCTGAAGGCCGCCAGGTTGGGGAAGGCTGCCTTTGGCCTTAAGGTGCCACAACGGGCTGTGCTGCTTTTGCAGGAACAGGCTAGCATGGCGGCCTCTTTGGCCTGTGGCCCTGGGCAACAGGGCGACCTCTGCCTGTGGCAATTCTTCTCTGCAGTGGCAAGCGCAGCTAAGGAGGCCAGTGGTGGGGGAACTGTCTGGTGCCAGGATGAATCACCCCAGGGCCACTTAGCCCCCCCCCCGACTCCTTCGTCCCCCCTTGACTTGTTCCTGAGACAGCCCATTGGTCTGAAAGCCACGGGAGCTGCAGCTGATACATCTGAGGAGCCCCAGGTTAGTGGGAGCGAAAGGCTGGTCAGGGCAAACGCTGCCTGCCCCACCCAGCAGAGCCTCTCCCCAGCCTGGGAGGTGGAGGCTGGGGGTGGGCAGAGGGGCCCAGACCCGGCAGGGGTCTCCTGATGGGAGTCCCCTGGAGCGGCTGCTCCTCATCACTGCTGAGGGCTGCTTCTTCCGCCACCTCTTGCTCTGGCCCGGGCAACAGAGGCGGTGGAAGAGGAGCCGCTGTGGCCACCGGCGAATCGCCTCCGCCTGGCAAGCAGACAAGGGGTGGCCACGACGGAAAGAGGAGGAGAAGCCGAGCGGTGGTGGCTGCTGCTGTGGGAGGCCAGCTCCCTGCGGGATGGGGGGCCGGCCTGGGCACCTCCAGACCTGCAGCTGGCCCTGGATGTGCCACGATGCACTGAGGTGCTGTGTGGGAGCCCAGGCCCCCCCAGTGCAAAGCAGGCACTGCAAAGGGCAGGATCGGTGCCAAGCAGGCTGAGATCAGCGCCAAGGGGCTCTGAAAAAAGCAACAACCCGACTTGGCTTGGGGAGCTTCCATGCCTCCAGAATGGTGGCAGCCAGCTCTGACCTACAGATGTGTCTCTGATGCTGCAGAGCCAGGGCTCCCAGCCACGAAACGGGCGGGCGCAGAGTGCCTGTCAGGACAATGCCCTGGAATGACTCCCCCCTTATCAACTGCAGCCAAAGGGCAGCCCAAGTGCTTCCCTCTACCGCACCAGCTACTTTGCATGACAAACGGTGGAGGATAATTGGAGTGGACAGAGTGGCGCGGGGAGGGCTGAGAACAGAAGTGGAGTGATTAATTCATTTTAAAGGCTCTTGGACAGGATAACGCTCTGCCGGAGAGATCTGGAGACTGTTTAGGACGGGTGTGGATGCCAGACTCATGGGAGGGCAGGGTGTGGGGAGCACCTAGGAAGGATGAAAATGCACAAATATTCATGTCTATGAATGGAAGTTTGGAGGAAGATTACAGAGAAAATAAAAGCTGGATACCAAACAATCAGCTATTGCCGGTTCAAATTATTCTCACATGGCTGCAACACTGATTGATTAGCATTCTGAAAGATGAAAAAGCTGGTTGGGCAGATGTTTTTGGCAGCTTAATCATAACGTACGATGTGCAACTTTATTTTTAAAAAGCCCGCCCCCTGCGGATGGCAAGCCCCATCCTCCTGATCTGCAAGCACCCAGAGACAAAGGAGGGAGATGCTTTTCCCCCTGGGTGGGCCCCTTGTGGGACAAAACCTCACGTCTCCCGTGAGCTCCCCCACCACTGGCAGCGCATCTGGAGGGCCACAAGCTGGCCCCCCTCTGGCGAGTCACATGCACCTGGTGCACACACTGTCAGTCCACGCAAAGGCATTCCAGTCCTCCCCGTGGCTGAGTTTTCTGCTCCCTCCCCACAGACACTGCTGATGTAAACACTGCTGAGCACTCTTAACTCTGATCAGGTTGCTTGCTGGTTTTGCCCCCACCACCACCCCCCAGTACACACACGCGCGTGCGCATGCGATATATATAATTTTATGGTAATGGTTAGATCAAGAAATCAGAGAGGCATTGCTAACTTTTGGTGTCTGGGCCAAAGTTTGCTTCAGGCAGAAGCAGCTGTGGGGAAGCAGCAAACAGGTCAAAACCACAAAGAAGAAGTTGGGAAATTTCTGTGGAACCATTCAAAGAAAAGCAAATTTGAATTTTGTCTCTGCATTATTCAGATTTAAGCAAACAGTACCGTCCCCAGCCAGAGTTCAGCAAGCGGTCAAGTGTCCCAGTGCAACCCTGGGAAAGAGAGGCCAGGAGCGTAATCTCTGCAGGCAGAAATCCACAGGGGAAGGCTGCACTGCGCTTTGCCTCTTTTCTTTTCCCGTTGTAACCCCTGCTGGAGGGGCATTCTGGGAGTCGTGGTCCAAATGCCTCTGGAGGCCACCGGGTTGGGGAAGGCTGGTTTAAAGTATAGGCTACGAACATCTGTTTATAAAGCAGCTATGCTGAACGTCAAAGGGCCAAAAGGAGTCCTTCTTAGCATCAGAAAAAACACATCTCTAAGGACATGGAGAGAGACGAAAGGGCCTGTCCAGATAAAAAGAGGTCTGCTTAATTAAATCTATTACCCATAAAGCAATTCTGCTACAATAGTGTACTTCTTGGGGTACTTCCTTTTTGTTTCTCAGGGACTGTATTTCTGTCGGCACTCCCCGCACAAGGGGTGGGGGGAACAATATAGAGGAAGCAACATCGGCTTGCATTATGGGAGCAACCATTTATGGCGCCTGCTGTTGATTTTTATAGCACTTATTTTGCATGGGAAAACCCACCACAAGGTGAGCTTACAACAGGCTTCCCGAGGCAGCTGTCCTCCACATGTTTTGGACCTCAACTCCCATCAGCCCCAGCCACCATAACCAACCATTAGGAATGCTGGGAGTTCTAGTCTAGAACATCTGAGAGAACACTAGGTTGGAAAAAGCGGGTGTGAAAGGTCAACATTTTACGGTCAGTCAAGACTTTAGTTTGCACACAAATTATGTGATGAGGACTATTAGCATGAAAGATCAAAACAGTGTTATTACCTACGCTAAGCATCCTTTGCACAGTAAATACAAACTCTCACCACAAGAGGGCCCATTCCAAAAAAAACGCTGAGCATTAGAATACAGCTTTTTCAGGATAGGCACCAAGGGCTTTGAAACAGGACTCAGAAGAGTTCAGCACTCCCGAAACCTGATGGCTCAAAACAAGAGACAGGAAGGCCCCTGCCACTCAAAAATCAAAACCCCGGAAAAATTCGGAGCTTCCCCACCATTTCCCCCCCAGGCCAAATCCCAGGCGCACAAGATACCAGGAGCTGGCTACCCATTTTCCGCGCTGGCGGCAGCCCTCCTTCAGCGCAGGGGCGACGGAAGGGCGACGTGGCAGGAGAGGACCCGGTGCCGGAGGTGCACCTACCAGCGTCCACCCGATTCTACCATGGTGCAGGGCGGCAGGGGCGGTGTGTCGGGGCACCTTTCGTGCCACACAAGCCGCCCCCGTGCCCCACACGTGCCGTGCACTCACAGGCACACGGAGAGCCCAGCGGCGCCGTGGCTGCGCTGGCCACGCCCACATTCCCCCACCAGGAACGGCCCTTTTGAGACACGTGGGGGCTCGGCCTCCCCTTCGGGACCTGAATGCCGAGCACTGCAAACGGGCCAGGACGGTGCTGCTGAGCCATTTGCCCCCACTTGCAGCTCTGCTGGCGGGGGGCGGGGGGGCTTGAAATGACGTCTGCCACTCCACTCCTGCCGTGCCCGGGAGCCTGGCTCCACCATGCCACGGCCCCGCAAGGGGCTGAGCCCGGCCAACTTCCTGCAAAATCGTCCGAGTGGGGCTGCGGGCATGCCAGGAAGAAAGCCGCTCTCTAAGCATGGTCTTCATGCAGCAAAATGGCTCCACCCACATCCGAGATGGCCGAATCTGCTGGATTTGCAGCTTTGCAGAAATGCCAGCAAAACATCTTTCAGAAAGAAAACCCCTAAGGGGGCATCTTCCCCACAAATTACCCTCTGGCCCAAGGAGAAGAGAGTCTGATCAGCGCCCAAAGGATGTTGCCGGCTGCTGTGGGGCAGGTGGGGAGGTGAAGAGGAAAAATAGGGCGAACTGGGAAGAGAGACCGTCTTTCTGCCTTCTCCACCTCCTGCGCGCCTGGATGGGGACACTCCACGTGCAGGAGGGGGTGGAGCAGAGAAGTGACTCTCTATGACACATTACTGGTCTAACTGACCTTCGAGGACCTCAGAAGAGGGAGAAAATGCCCGAGATGGCCACATACATTGTATTTAGTTTGTTTCCATGTATATCCTGCCCGTTTCCCTCTCGCAAAGAACCTAAGGTAACTTACATGGTCTTCCTTCTCCCTGCTTTAATTCCAGCAAAAACTGTGGGAGGTAGGTTAGGGAAAGGGACGATGACTCGGCCCAAGTCACCCCCTGATCCTCGTGCCTGAGCTCCAGTCCAACGCTCTAACCACTCCACCGCTCTGACACTCTGTGCCAGGGGGTGTGGCAGGCCGGCCGGCAGGCCCACTGAACCGAAGCACTCACTCTGCAACATTCTGTTGCAGCTTCCACCGAACCAGCACGAGTGTAAGAGAGAAAGTGCCAACTGCAGCCCACTCCCAAGAGGCCAAAGGGCAAGGGAGGAGCCCAATACCAACCTGATATCCCTGGAAAAAGCTGAGGATTTCCTTCATTCCGGCATTATAGGGCAATCCCTGCATCCGAACCAGAGCAGCGTGCTGGGGAAGCATCGGAGTGTGCGAGGCGGAGGCTGCAGCTGCCACCGCCGCTTGGGGAGCCGCGATGTACCCCACCGTGGTGGGCGACACAGGAGGGCTGAAAGAGGAACAGAAGCAAGTGTTGTACCTGGAGATGTGAAGGCCGGAAAAAAGCAGGGAAAATCAAGAGAGGGCGCTTTTCTTAGTTCCAGCCCCAATTTCAAATTACAGTTCCATGCACCCTTTCAGAAGGGTTTTTACAGGTCTGAACTTTTTCCGATTCTGCACAGCTTGCAAGATCTTGGTCAAAATGCTAACTTCGGTGTACAATTCCACCCACAGGGACAAGTTCCCAGCCTGGAAAACTATCAAGCTTCGTAGTACCTGGGATAATAGGTGGTGTAGTTCATGTACAACTGTGCGGCCTGAGCTGGGTAATAAGTAACAGCAGGATTGGCAGCGGCGGCTGCAGCAGCGACCACGGAAGCCTGCTGGGTTCGAGTCGGAGGCAGGAGTGCTTGCGACTGGTAGATTGCTGCTTCGGCTGGAATCACGGCAGCTGCCGCTGTCTGGAAAGCAGCGTAGGCCGGAGGAGAAAGACCTACGGACAAAGCAGCGAGTGAACCTCAACAGTGAGGCGAGACCGATTCACCGGCACCGTTGTCCTTTTCCAGTTGTTGTCCAGCTGCGGCTACAAGTTTAAGAGCCCAAACAAAAAAGCAGAAGCCACGAGATTTGCATTGCCCCATTAGCCCATTCAGAATCCTGAATCCAGAGCATCATTTATTTTTTAAGCTCTGCTAATGATGCAGTGGCACAAGATTCAAAGAGGGAGGACTCTATCTCCTATAAGCAAGTCCTTATGGGGCACACGTCACCAAAGATAAATCAATCCACGAGGAGCTGCGAGGCGTGCCGGCCGCCATTATGAACACGCAAGTCCTGAGCGGGGCTGACATGGCTTGGCATGTTGTGTGCACCTGCCCGGTGGAGGTTCTTTGAGGCTTATGGAACCTCTGCATAATCCACAGTCCCTTTCGGAGACTTGGGGGTTGTTTAGCCCTCGAATAACACCTGCTGGCTGGAACTGCACAGCCTGGGAAGCCATGGCACACGCTGGACGTGACCTGCGTGTTCAAAATGGCGGCAGCATGTGCTCAACCCAAGGCAGGTTGCAGTAGCATGCATGTTCTTAAGCCACCTTTGCAAAACTCCCACACTCCACCATACCGCAGCGAACCTCCACCCCAGGGAAGCAAAATCTTGCATATCATGGTTTCGTGCACAAGGAAATTGGCAGTGCTGTTTACAAGTCAATCCTGACGTGTTGGAGTGCTCATCCCAAGGGATGCCCCGTTTCCAACAACAAGCTGTCCCTGGAGTCCAGCCCCGCCTCGCTGCTAAATGAGAAGTCTCTCTGGCCTACAGAACTCGGTAGCTTCCCATTAAAAAACAAAGAGCAAGGGTGGCCAAGCAGAGCCTGCTGAGGTGATGTGTAGAGGACTGTGGGAAGGGAGCAGGAGAGAAGACCGTGCAGTGTTCCAGCAGAAGCAAAGTGCATGGACATAAAGGTGCGGTCCAGAGACACACAACCCTCAGTCAGTTTAGACTGGTACATCTCTCAGCTGAAATCATACTGTGCAATCCTAGGCACCTTTACTCAGAAGTATACCCTACACTACGTTGAAGAGGGCTTAGTCCATGGATGACTTTCACAGTCTTGCATCCCTGGGCTTTTCAGTCAACATGCACAAGATCGTGTTGTTGGAGCATTAGATTGGCCCGGCCAGGTACAGCTCGTGAGTGCAGTTTTTAATGTATTCCATTTTGGTCCTTTCTTTCTTCTGTGCCAGAACTCAAGGCAGAGTCCCTGGGGGCTGCTAGGAATTCCCTTCTCTGCGCTGGACCAGTCCCTGCCCAGACTCTGACCTCCTTCCTGCGCCCCGGAGAGTATTCCCAGCTTGGTTATCGGGGGAAAGGAATACTTTCAAGAGCATCCCTGCTCTGACGTCAGCCCTCCTCAGCCCGGCATGGGCCAAATCAACACATCGTCCATGCTGGCTGGAGATGAGGGGACTTATAGGCCAACACACCTGGAGGCTACCGGGCTAGAGAAGAGTCTAGAAAACGATGAAAAAGGAAATACTAAAAATTCCTTTCCCTTTTAACAAAGAGGAACAGTTTGTTTCTATTTTTTAAGGGGCTTTCCAACATTCCCTTTTTAAAAAGTCACCTACACTGAATTGGTAATACACCTTTAAAAGCCAATGAGTAGACAACAGGTGGGTGATTAATTAGCTTATGTTATCTGAATAATTGATAGCCCTAAGAAATGCCTTCAAATCACATCAGATTCTGGCTCCAGCTTTCCAACCCAGCACACCACAAAGGGGTGGTTTTAGGCCACGGCTAAACCCAAGATGGAGGAGAGCCTGCAACGGCGGATGCGGAACAGAGAGAGCTAGAGGGCTGGAGACTCACAGGGTAACTTGCAAGGTGGTGGCGACAAGCCGCTACGATTTAAAGTTCCACCCATTAAAACAAAGTTCATCTCCTCTCCAGAGCACTGGAACACTTCCACGTAACGGTCCTTCATCATCTTCTTGTGACACTTCTGGGCCACAAGGAAGGCCCGGTCGGAAGATTTCATTTGGATAAAAGCATCGCCAGATGGCCGCCCCTACAGACACAAATCAGAGGGCGGGATTCAAACATCATTGGAAGCTGCAGATGAATAAGCAACCGCCATGGATCGCTGCCCTAGCCAGGGTAAGTCCATTTGTTGAACGGCAGATGCTTGCGCAAACCACAGGTTGTTTTGCCAGTTCCTGGGTTGTTTGGTTTCCACCACCTTCACCCATCCCCTCGCTCTATACTACATGGCTGTTTTCATCATGTTTCCTGCCACTTTTATAGCCTGACAAAACAGCCATAAACAATACAGTGGTACCTTGGCTCACGAACTTAATCCGTTCCAGGACTCTGGTCGTGACCCAAATTGGTCGTGAGCCAAGTTAAACTTCCCCATAAGGTTCAGTGTAAACAAGATTAATTCGTTCCGTAACTATTTGTTTAATCAGAAAAATGTGAAGAAGCAAAGTGACAAAGAACAACAAAGATCGCAGCCATCTCCCTGCGCCCCCTCCCAGCACAATCACGATCGCGCCCGTCATCCCAGCTCACTTGGGGGGAGAGACGGGCATGAACAGGGTGTCTGGGGGGGGAAGACAGGAGTGATCATGCTGGTGGGGAGATGGCTGAGATCGTGGTTGCACTTGTGCAGGAAAGACAGGCGCGATCTCAGCCATCTCCTCCCCCCCTGCCCCAGCAGGAGTGCAGCCATCTCCTCACTTGGGGGAGTGGGGAGATGGCCATGATCATGGTCACCGCCCAATACGGAGCTCGCGACCTGAGTAAATTTTTTAATGAAATTTTTGTTCATGACCCGATTTGGTCATGAACTGAAGTGTTCGTGAGCCGAGGTACCACTGTACACAGTTCCTGATTTGCACCAATGGTAAAGCCAACTTCATCATTTAAACAGCCCAGAGTTTACTGCTGAACAAACTATGGGTATTCTTCCTGGCTCGTTCATGATTAACAAGCCACAGTTAACCCATAGTTCTCCATTCACACATAATGACAATCCATGATTTAACAAACCACACTTACAAAGACTATGTTTTGGCGTTATACAGGAGCCTAGCGAGAGGAGAAACCCACACAGGCACCTGAGGGCTAACCTGTAGTGAAACAGGCTTTTCCCCACAGTGGTGCTCATGAATTTATCTCTGGCAAAGGAAGCTAGCAACCCACAGGTGCGTTCAGCCATATTACATTGGTTCGCTTACAGGTATGGGGGGGCACCCTATGGTCCTTCCAGATATTAGGGCCTGTGACTCTCAACGGCCCCAGCCAACATATCCGGTGGGGAAGGATGAAGGGAGCTGCAGGACAGAGCATCCAGGTGGCTACGGATTGCCCAGCCCAGCTTTGAGGTGTTAAAGCGCAAACACTGGGCCGCCCTCCTCACCTGCCACAGCATTTTTAAAAAGGAAGTTCTACCTTCGCGCCCACAGGCACCTTCCTTCCATGGAAAAAGAGGGTTCAAATCCCTGGGGTTAGAATCAGCCGCTTCAACTCTCCCCAGTCACGTTCTTTGAATCGTGCGTGGGGGCAGGGAGGGGGAACCGGTGTCTGATCCACGGGGCTGCCAGCCAGGATCCTGGGGGGGGGGCCTCCTCCCACCCACCCCGACGAGCAGCCGGGAGCCCCGGGTTGCAGCGAGGCGGGCTACCCGCAGCCGACCCTCGCAGCACCGCTGAGCACGGCCGTACTTGCTGATTCAGGACCATGTGGACTCCGTGTGGCTTGATGTCCGCGGTAGCCTCTCCCATGAACTCCAGAATGTCGTCGATGCCGGCGGTGTAGGGCAAGCCCCTGAGCCGGACACAGTCCCGCATGCTGCCCGTGGCGATGGTGTACGGAGGAGGCATGACGGGAATGATGGGTGTGGGGAGCGTCGGGATGAGTGGGGTCGAGAGATACCTGTTGAGAACCTGTGGGGGGGAGGGGGGGAGAGCCAGTCACCACCAAGGTGAGGACAGAAGTGCTCCCCTAGGCCCGGCCTTCCCTGTGCGGGTGCCCACGGGATGTACTGGGACTGCAACTCCCACCATTCCCAGCCAGAGTCTCAGGAAGCGGCTCACACATCTCATGCAAGATCAAGCCAACGCCACCTGCTGGCAGACCCTGCAATTCCTCTCAGCTGTCTTGTTTCTCCGTGAGTTAAAAATGCTAGCCGGCCCACTGCATTCTGTGCTGCTTGGATGAGCCCAGAGAGCGCGGGCCCCGCTCCCGGCGAGGGACAAGTCCTCCCATCTCTCGTAACGCCTGCAAAGGGGCCGCGTGGCGTGCATGCGGAAAGGCCCGCTCGTACTTTAGCACATGAAGCCATGGGAGGGCTGTACATCGTCCCGGTACTATATGCGAACCAAACTCTCCCTGGCTGGGTCCAATAGGAATTCGGGGCAAACCCTTCTGGAGGGCCACAAGTTGCCCCCCAAGGGTGATGTCTGCATCTTCCATGGCTACCAGCAACGGTGCGGAACAAGAGCAGATGCAGCAAAGCAAAGCAAAGCAAAGCACAGCACAGCAAAGCAAAGCAAAGCAGGACCAGAACTGCCCCGACCTGCTGGACTTCTGCTGCCGTGCTTCTGAAGAGCTCGATGTAGCGCTTCCCCAAGATCTCCTTGTGTTTTTTAAGTGCATTCTGTGCGTATTCCTCACAGGCGAACAAGACGAAGGCATCTCCAGTGGGCCGTCCGTCCGGATACTTGACAAAGAGGAGTCCCTCCTTCCCTCCTGTGACGGGACACTCCGGTCCCAAGAAGCCCAGGACGTCCTCCAGCGTGGCTGTGAACGGAAGGCCCCGCATCCGGATGATGACTTGATTCTCCTTGGAGAGGAACTGGGCTACTTCGTTGGAAGTGCCTAGGAGAAAGCAGGCCGCAACAATTTGCTTCCGTGTGAATCACAATGCCTCGTTAAGTGGAGCTTTGTCCCAGTTCCCCAACCTGGTGCCCTCCAGATATTCTGGACGTCGTCTCTCACCCATACCAGCCAGCCTGGCTGAGGGTCAGGAGTTTTGGACGTTCCAGTCCAAAACATCCAGAGGGCATCAGGCTGAGAAAGACTGTTCAAGTTGGTCAATCCCCCCACCCCACCCAGAAAAAAACCCCCGTTATTCCAACTGACTGATCAAACACAGAAGCCCTATCAAAAGGCAGCTGCCATTCCTACCCTCTGTTGAAATAGCAGGACACATTCCATTTCCCTGTACTCCTATGCATTGTTAACAGCCTTTCCCCAATGCCTTCCAGATGTGCTGAACCACAACTCTCACAATTTGTGGGGCTGTTGCTGCAGCAGCTGCAGCAGAAGGCTGGAACGGGTGATCTGTGAGCTCCCCAGAACAGGCCCCAGTTACACTCAAGGGGTAGCTGCCTCCATTCTCCCACTGACATGGGTAAAAGCACCAAGTATGTGGATGGTGTACACATAACACAGAAGGATATCGCTTATTCTTATGCACTCAACTTTTTAAATATTTATCTTAACAGGTCTTTTGATCACACAGATTCCCAGTAGCAAACCTCCAGTTGCAAGCTTTCCTCTAAACTGCTCCTCACCTCCAGCAATCTTCAGAAACTCTTCTCCAGTTGCTTTGTAAACCTGAAATGAAATTAGGCAAACATCTTTACAGTATTGACGTGACCGCTGATGCTATTGAAAGCTGAAGACAATCATCTGAAGAACATCCTTTCTCAGCAAGTCGGGTTTTGCTTTGCTTCACTTTTTGACCGGCGGCGTTTGAACTTTCTATTCGTGCAAGACATACGTTACTGATCTGATGTTGCAGTCACATCGCTTCCAAATTAAGCAACAAAAGCCAGCAGAAAACCCCAGTGAGAGGCGTCTGGTGATGGCTGTGCTTGCTTGCAACGCACCTCAATGTAGCGGCTCCCCATATGGTGCTTGTGCCGCTCCAGGGCCAGATCCCTCTGCTCGGAGCTGACGAACCGCACGAGGGCCTCCCCGTTTCGCCTTCCTTGGGCATTCAGACACAGGGCCACACCGCCTCTGGAAGCGAAGGGAAGGGGGAAATTTGTTATTTGTTTTTCGTTTTGTTTTTCGGCGCCAGGCAAAGACCTTTTTATTCACAAGTTATTTTAATTGTTAATACTATTTATTTATTTTATTCTTTGACCAGGGCAACTTAAACTATACTGTTTTATATTGTGTTTATTTATTTATAATTGTGAGCCGCCTTGAGGCTTCGGCAAATGGGGCAGCATAGAAGTTCTCTAGATAGATAGATGGATAGATGGATAGATGGATAGATGTCATTGGAGAAGGCGCCATTCTTCAAGCCCCTGCTGCAAAGACCGTTTAGTCCTCTGGATGGGGCTGGGAAACGACTTTGGAAGCAAGCGTTGCTTAAGGTAAAACGCAAGAGTTGTGCTGACTACTAAGACTGCGATCCCCCCTCCCCTCCCCTCCCGCTGCAGGGGTTGTATTTTTCCATTCTTCCCCTAATAATGCCTCTGGTTTCAGTCCAGAGCTTACAAAGATTATGAATAAGACAGACACTTTCCTCAGGCTCACAAATGAAGCGTTGTGGCAGAAAAGGAAAGGGGGATGCAAGAGACAGAGGAAAACATACAGGTTCAAGCTCCAATCCTTGGATGGAGGTTCTGATGAAAACCAGGCGGGATGCACAGCGTTCTGGGAAGGGAGCCGCTGGTCGGCCAGCAGAGTCGGTGGAGCCGGCTCGCTGTCCTGGGCAGACTGGCTGCTGGGAGACCCTCCCCTGCTGCTGCTGTTCACCTTGCCCACCCCTTCCCACCCTTTGCGCCTCATTCTCCCAAGCAGCAGGTGTGGCAGCAAACTGGGGCGGGGGAGGGGGCTGTCCAGGGGCCTCCTGTACAAAAAAGCAGCAAAATCTCCAAGGCATGGAAAATATGAGCAAGCCTGGAAGAAGTGCTCAAGCGCAGATGTCCTGCGGCACTGCCAGTTCCCCGTGTGCACAGAACTGGCGCGCAGCAAGCGCTCGGCCACACCAGGTCCCAGCCTGCTGTCCGAAAGGGCCAGCCAGGAAGTGGGTTGGCCTTCACCCCACTGCTTGCTTGCTCGCTTGCTTGATTTATTTAAAACATTTATATGGCGCCCTTTATGACAACATCTCAGGATGGCTTACAACAATAATTAAATTTAATTATTTAAAACTTTTGGATACTGTCCACTACCATGTGATCATGGGACAGTCTCAGAATAAAACCAAGTGGAGCACAGCATCCATTCCACACCATAAAACCCTACTTAAAATTGCCATCTAAACTTTGAAATGCTGGGAAAAACCAATGTTATCACCACGTACATTTAGAGTACAGCAAAGAGATGGTAAAATAGTAATCTTAATGGATCAAATGGGAAATATTGCCAATTAAAAGACAGAACAGTTCAGGACAGAGGCTTCAAATTGAATGCCTTCTTTTTCTTAAAGCAAGGACTGAACGCTGCAGCTGCGGAACATTATTAAGGGAAATCATCCACTCCAGCCCAATTCTGGGCTCCAAGATCTTAGCAGCAGCCTTCCTGTTCTTCTCCAACCCAGCCTAGAAAAGCGCTCTTTTAAAGAACCAAGTACTGAGTCTCTCGCGGTATGACCTGGTGCCTCCATCTGAAGGGCTGCTGGAGGACTAGCATCTGTTTTGCAGGTGTCCATTACTTGTAGGACTTTCTGGTTCAAGTCCAACCACAAAGAACCATCAGAAGGCAGGGCTGCCAGGTGGAGGGGGGTTGAAGGAGGCCAGCAGCACCTGCCCAGCAGACTGGGCAGGCCGGAATGCACTCAGCTCCTGGGGTGACATTCTTTGATGCAAAGGTGAGATGTAATGCATTTCTACTTAATTATAACCTTTGTTCCTCAATTCACATTTATACACAGAAATTGACATGTGCAAGATTTTGTGCAAACAGGTATTGCTTTGGCCCTTTTTTGGAGGTGAATGTTCTCTTTTTTGGTGGTCCAGAAGTGGTCACCCCAGTTGCTGGGTGTACACTTAAGACCCCATATCCATCAAACTGGCAATTGGCAAGAAGCCCACAAGAAGGACACCAGATCTTGGGGGAGGAATTACAGAGCTGGCACTCTTACTTGGCAATATTGAGGCCTTTGAAAAACCGAGCGATGTCTTGATCAGAAGATTGCCAGGGGAGTCCTCGGGCACGAATTACAGTTTCACTATCCACGGCTTCCGATTTACTACTGTGAAATGAGAAAGGCAGCAAAGGACTGGTCAAAAAAGCTATCCATCCAAGGAATCCGCAGTGTTCATTCTTTACTGCACAATAAATAGCTATTTAACCATTAAATTTAAAAATATGGAGCACTGGGAAGATACGTGTGTATTTTAGTTCTCCTTTGGATAAAAATAAGATTAGTTACATTTGGCCATTCTGAGGCATTTGAAATGAATATCAGCACTATTAAAAACCAAGGCCAGGATCCAAAGGACTGCATGCCAAGTTGTGTGCCATCAGTGGTCAAACTCCAAAGAATTTTATTTATTTTTATTTATTTATTTTGGGAACTTCTATGCCGCCCCATTCGCCGAAGCCTCGGGGCGGCTCACAAAAGATTTTAGTCTTTCAGTTTCTGTTGCTTTAAATCTTTACAGTATTTTAAATCTTTGTACTGCTACTATGTTTCACTGGCTTCTGTTTCTATTTTACACCTTAGTTTAAAATGTGGACTTTTATAGTGCATTTTATATGCTTTGATTTTAAATGCTGTGAGCCACTCAGAGAATTTTGGCTACTGGGAAACACACCCGCACCCCCTGCCCATCCCCCCTTTATTCATCTTTCTTCTAAACCAAAAAGACTCCAATCACTGCTGATTTTTTCTTAGCGATGGAAAATACCTGATTAACATACAAACACTCCTTCACTCTACTTACAACATCCAGACTCACTATAACACAGATGTGAGAGAGGAATCGTGCACTCTAAGCAAGCTAATGGTCCGCAGCTGATCCACACACAGCTGGTCAGTCCTTGGTGACTTTAGACCACATGTCTGAACTGATGCGACATCAGGAAAGGCATTCGATCCTGTGATGCATGCACAACAGCAAAGGTCCCCACAGCCTCTCCTGACCCCTGCCAAACCTTGGGCCACCATCTCTTTGGACTGCATTGCAGATCTGTCCCAAGTCAATATGGCAATCCCAGAACCAGTCAGCCTCCGAACCAGTATGGTCCATTTTATTCCTGTTTGCAATGTACTCAGCGCATCAAATGGCTCATTGGTTCCTGTCACATGGATTCCCGCTCCATGGTTTGCCAGGGGCGGTCACCTCTGATAGAAGGCCTCAGTTTACATCTTGCTTCTGGGCAGCCTTTCTAGATGTTCTGGGTGTCCAGTGGAGGTTATCTATAGCTGGATGGGCAGGTGAACTACGGGAAAATGCCTCTGTTGGATCCTCAAGCCATTGTTTATGAAGCTGCTTTGCTTCCACTAACTGCAGTTAAGATTAATCACAATTTAGGGCTTGACTGACATACTAAACTGTGGTTAGTCCCCTGTTGTAGCTTTACGCAGCGCAGGCACGGGGGAGAATCGATTGCATGGAAGTTAAGTTCTGGAATATGTATGCTGGGCATCCCTTTTATCTATTCGGACATTACCCGTTTATTTTTTTCAAAAAATGCTCTAGCTTCTTTGGAAAAATTAGAAGCTAATTAGAAGTAAAGCAAATTGTGATGGCAGTGGAAAACATAGAACATGTTGCTACTTTGCTTCAGATGTGTTTGTGTGCCCCCCCAACCCCGATCCACCTGAATTCCCTTGCCCACTGATGTCTCACCAGTCACAAGCACTAGAAATAAAATGAGAACTGGCACCTTGAACAGCTCAGTTGCTGGGGGAGTGGGAGGAAAGGACTTACCAGGGCCCGGTTTCGTACTTGTATTTCACAGTTTCGGGGGTTGTAAACCTGTGATCTGCAACTGGTAGGAACAGAGAAGAGTTAAAAAGCTAAACACACACAGAGGGTGACACAACAGGCAAAAGCGCAATTTCTTGACTAGGGCAGGGACCACGTTCGTAATTGGGTGAGGCAGTCGGTGGTGCAGGAAGCCCCACCCCACCCCCCACCCCCGGCCAAGAGAAGTATCTTCACTTACTGCACGCATCTGGAAGCATGCTGAAAATGATCGCCTCCATCGCCTTCACCTGCCAGACTCCAAAATCCTCTTCTGCTTCGTCGATCCCATAACCTATATCTGGATCCAGGGTTAAGAAAACAGGGCAACGCACTTCTGAAACGAGCACGCCCTGCAGTCCCGACCATGCAAGCATCTCCGGCAGGTTAGTGTGCGTGGATATGGGAGGGGGCCCACGGGCCATCCACCCTGCACCCCCTACTCGACGTGGAAGCCCCTGCCTGAGGGTCGCTCTCTGCAAGACAGCTGCCCCACTTTAAAACCCCTTGCAAAGGTTTTGCAGGGTTGACGCGGTGAAGATCTTTCCCGAAGAAGCAGAAGGAAGACCGTAACACACCGGCTTCTCACCACCATCACCTCCAATGTCTACTAGTCTTTCTCCGCATCACTCTGACTACCTGCTCGCTGGAGAGGCAGAGACCGCAAGCAAGCAAGGAGCCAGGGACACTTCCTGCTGCTCCTCCTCACCTTCTCTGTGCCTGGGCCAGAGCGTGAGGAGATGAACCAGCAGGTGGCAAAGGTGATATGAAGAACCACCCCAGCGGCCTGTCAGGGCCCCCTGCACACTTGAAAAGCTGTTCATAATGCAGAATTAAAAACCGCTTTTAAAAGACTGCGGGGGGGGGGGGGGGAACCCAGTCAACAGCCAAAACAGGATTTTGTAGGGAATATACCGGTTAAAAGCACCAGCCATATAATTAGATGATGCCAGACATGCCTGAATGCTTTAGCTCAGAAGGCTGCCTTAAGCTGGCTATGAAAGGTTGGCTGTGGGTGGCAGGTGGGCATGGAGAGGAAAAGCACTCTATCGTCAGGGTCCACCACTGAAAAGATTCTTCCTCTTGCTGCTGCTTTCCAGCCTCCCTTGCAGGCAACACTCCGGGGAAGACTTTGGACAATAATCGTAACATACAGGTAGACTGCGACTGGGAGAGGGGTTGCATCAGGTACTGAGGTCCCCAGCCATGTTTACGAAAAGACGGCCTTCTCGGAGGGTACCCTCCGTCAAGAGAGTATGTCATTGCGATGCAAGCTCACTCCCTCCTACCACTTAAAAACACCTTTGCCTGCACCAGGAGAAAATTTTCCCCACGCCTGGAGAGAAATTTGCTAGGGCCACTCAAGCCCAGTCGGTCCCAGCACCCCCAGTTAGCATCCCGCTGTGGGAAGGGAATCCAGTTGGAAAACATGTCAAAGGATGCATTCCGCCATAGACTGGATGGTCTGGTCCTTCACGGGGGCCGAACTGGGATAGCACTCGTGAAATTCCTTGCGTAGATCATAAAACGAATAAAAGCAGTCCGGCAGGAGGAGGTTCTGTGATGGGAAGAGGATGGAGAAGGCAAAAGAGCGACACACGTTGAGCATGCAGAGTCTCAAGGCAGGCTTTGGACTTCTCAGAACGTGGGCAGCCTTCTCCCGCGTGGATCCATGACAAGATGGACACAGAGATGGGCAGCGCTCAAGAGAGTGCGAGGAGGAGGGGCTCGCTGTCTAAATTTCGGGAAAGCGGGGACAGAGGAAGGGAGAGGCATGGAGGCAGGAGAGAAGACGGACGGAGCAGTCTGCAGCATCTCGACAAAGCCACTCTCTTAGCCGGCACCAGACTTTCTCTCCCTGTTGCTGCCCAAATGTTCTGCACCGGTTGGGAGAGGCCGGGGTTGGAGTCTGACGCATGTGGAGGGTGCTGGGTTGGGGAAGGCAGTGTTAATTCCTCGAGGAAACCAAGCTGCTCGATCTGAGGTCTCCACCCAGATGCATCTCGGAGGGACCCGCTCAGCCTCTCAAGAGCTTCAGCAGCCCTTCCAACATGCTGCTGCGGCGCTCCGGGGCTCTCGTCAGAGGCCGGCACATGGCTGGCACCCCCTGCTGCAGCCACGACCTGTTTCCCACGACTGCCACTGCTCCACATGGCGGCAAAGGAAGGCCAGGGGGCCGTACGGGCCGGGACTGCCGGCGGCAGGGACAGGGGGGGGGGGGGGCGGGTGGAGCAATGCTGCACATTCTCTTGGCTGCCAGGGCCAGGTGAGCTCGCACCGGGGCCCATGGGAGGTGCCAGCAGCCCTGCCGCAAGTTCTCCATCCCGCAGAGCAAACTGCCAAGTGGTGGGGATGGAGAGAAACAAGATGCAGCCAGAGGGAGAAGGGGGCACCCCTCCCTAATGCACAGCGCACCTGAGGACGTCTGCTGCCCCGCACGGCAGCTGAACGGCGGTGCGGGATTTCACCCTTGCTGCCTGCCATCATTTTTGATGCGCACTTGCATGCAAGAACCCTCGCCCTCCTCAGCCAATGTTGGGGCCAGCCCTGCGGGGAGAGCGTACCCCGCCTAGCCATGCCCACAGACGGCGCCCTGCAGCTCTGCGTTCAGAAGCCAAGCTTGGGGCGCCAGGTCAAAAGCCAGGGTCCCAGGAGCTCAGAGACAGTCCGGTCCAGACTGCACTGCTCTGAGGTTCTTCCGGGGCTCCAAGGAGGATGGCTGCCTGCCCTACTTTAGGAAGGGCAATCGCTTCTTCGAGGGCCTCGCAGGACGGTCCTCTGTTTGAAGGGGCCTTCAGTGCAAGCCTGGTTTAAGGAAAGGAGCGCCTGCCGTCGGCCACTGCTGTTAGGTCAGATCTCTGTGCAGGCTCCTGGCCAATGTTTTCTCCACCTGGGCTTATCTCTGCCTTCGGTTCTATCCACATTTGCATCCACGTGGACGCATGCATCAGCACATGCAAATTATGTGCCAAGCCACCCTCCCTGTTCCCTGTGACCCTTTCCTGGTGACAATTAAGAGGCCAGCCTCATTTCCAGGAGTGGAGGAGGGAGCGACCTGTGCCTTCGCTTCACACCTACGGCGAGACTCTCGCAGCTGCCACAGGGGCCACAAGCCTGCGGTGGCGAGAAGGCACCTTCCTTTTCGGCCGGGCACCTCCGCATACGGGCTGAGCACCAAACAGGTGGCCCTTTGGCCATGCCATTCCCGGGAGCCAGATAGCTGCGTACCTTTTTTGAGGCCTCAGGATGGAGCACCTGCCGAATGAGTAACTGTCCATCTGTGCAGAAGGTATAGGAGTTCTTCCCCAGAGCCTTCAGATCGCTCGATATCAGCTGGCTGAGCTACAAATAATGATGAAAATGATGGTGAAGGTATCACAAGGACAGCAGGAATGTGCTATTGTTTCAAACTGTATTCTTTTAAATGCACATTTACGTTGTGAACTGTTCAGAAAGCTCCTGAGTTGTGAATGGTATACAAAACTTGTTAAACAAATAAAATTAAGCCAATAAAATCCACATTTCCAAGTTTCAAACAGAAGCTCAAGCACAACAGAAGAAAAAAGGACCAAGAGGAAACAAGGTCCAGTGTTCTATTTACACAGTCACCAGTCAAGGGGACACCCCATGCCGGACCCTCCGTGTAGGGGACCGGACAACCGTCAGTGGGTCACTGGAGAGGGCCATGTTAGGCACTGTTTGCAGACAGATTTAAAAATTCATCTGCACTGAGAATTCAAAATAGTAAGAGGCCTGACCAGGAACTTTCCCAATGTCAGGAAAACAGAGCCATTGTTCTGGGCACAGTGATGAAAGGGTCTCCTAGAATTATGGTGAGGATAGCCCAGGGTATTAATCCTAAATATTTTAAGGCAGCCGTCCCAATCTAGTGTCCTCAGAATTGTTGGACTGCACCTCCCATCATTCTGAGCCAGCCTGGCCTTTATCTACCTTTTTTTTGGCCATGAGCACATTTGGGATTTTGAAAGTGTCGTGGGGGGGGGCGGTTCTCAGAGAAAGACTGAGCTGGGGGTCTTTCTCATTCATGGGAGGGCTGACACAGCGAGTGGGGCTACTCAAGACCCATCTTTTCCCAGAAGGCCAACTGGTGAGACTGGAAGAAAAGTGACTCGGCCAAGAGGCAACGTGCAAAGCAAAGCAGAGGCTGGGCTGCAAAAATAAGACCATTCTTTCAAAGGTGGGGCTGGATTTTGTCCCCCAATATGCAGCCCACTCCCCAACTCAATAATCTTTTAAAAATAAATAAAACCAGGAGAGGCAGCCTCTTGGGGGTCAGAGGCATATGGGTAACAACTGGAACAAATTTGGAGGGCCCAAGCCTAGGGCCTTAGTGGCTGAAATGATGGGGATTATAGTCCAACACACCTGGAAAGCACCTGGATGGGGAAGGCCAGAACAGTGCTGCCTCTCACGTACTCCTCCCTTATGATGTGGTGGGGCTGGGGAAGGTCTCTTGTACACCCCCTCCCCATTTTTAAGGTCTGCTGGATAATTTATCATCATGCCTACTCTTTGTATTCTCTACTCGGAAAAAACGCCCCTTTCAGTTTTTTAGAAATTTGAGAGTTAAGGCATCAGAAGAATTCTGTCTTAAAAGCTTCTCTCTTTGATTACATTTAGAGCCCACCGTTCTTTCAAGCCGACTGAGGCAGCACTCAAAGTTTCCTCCCCCCACCAACCATCTTGTGGGGCAGCCTGACGGGGCCTGCAAAGTGCTCCAAAGTGCTTACGGCCTGGGGAAAGGGCCTGGGCAAAGACAGGGTGTACCTCTGACCCTGCCCTGCATCGCCGGCCATTCCCCACCCAGCCTCCTGCGTCTGCCCGAGACCGTTCTGCTGGCACGCCGCCGCGTGCAAAGGGCGCGTGGCAGCTGCTGCGGCAGGAAGACGGGTCCAGAAAGGGCCAAAGCTTTCAACGGCCAGGAGGAGCAAAACCTCCAATGGACAGCAGGAGGATCGGGCAGCAGCAAGACCGTTCTGAGGAACGCTGCCTGTGCGACTTCAGGGAAATATTGGAAAGCTGAAGCACCGTTGCGACTCGGTGCGACCAGAGACGTAGCTAACATAAAATAAGCCACGCGTTCTGCAAGGGCTGTTTAAGCTCGGAAAACCTTTGAGTGGCACAAGCCCCCGGCCGGAGCTTGCATGATGAGGGAGGGGTGCACGGCGGTGCCCTTCTGGGCTCCTTAATCCCTGGCGGGCCTTCCAGCCACTGGAACCACCTAGTGGGCCACACAGTCTGAAAGACAGCCATGAAAACAAAAGGCCGCCCTCCATCCGACCCGCTTGAAGGCGCATCTCAGGGTTTCAAGCGGGGCATTCCGCTCTCTCCTCTTTCTTCCTCACCCACTGCCCCAGACCCAGCTTCCTTTTCCAAATTTCACTTTTTACTGGACAGGCTGATGGTGCTCCTGTTTTTGAGTCTAATTATTTGCTCACATCTCTTTTTGTTTTCTTAAGGATTTTTTAAAAATGCACAGTCCTGCAAGCTTTGCTGAGGCCTCCCTGTGTTTCTCGGTGGGCCTGGTTTGGCTGCAATCCTGTTGGCAGCTGGGGGGTATAAAAGGTGAATATGTTGGGGGGCGGACACACCGGAAAAGGCAGCTCTTCTCACTTCACACCTCCCGCTGCCAGCAAACTCGGCCCTAGATAAAGGGGAAAGCCCCAGTTACAGGAAGAGCTGCAGGAAGCCACTAGCTTTTTAAGTGACCTTTCAAAATGAAAATGCAATTAAAAGGAGCCAAATAGCGCTGAGCAGGTGGATTTGCACATCCGTAGTAATCTCCGAATAGTTTTAGGCAATGGTATCAGTGAAGGAAACAGTCTCCCACTTCAGGGTTAGGGTATAAAAGAAGTCTTCTCCAGCCTGGTACCCTCCAGAAGCTGTGCACTGGAGCCCTAGACCACCACTGGCCGTGCTGGCTGGGTCTTGTAGTCCTAACCATCCACTGAGTGTGATTCATGGTACATCCAGACCAGTTTTATCTAACGCCAGCCTGGTGCCCTCCGGATGTTCTGGACTACAATGCCAAATGGAGGCTGGGCTGCTCTAAATGGAGTGGACATACATCATGATTACAGGAAGGATATCACACCATGGGAAGGATGCAGCCAGGCTGGAACTGGCGCAGCGTCGGGCCACAAGGATGGCGGCCGGATTGTAGGCAAAGCCGTATGAGGCGAGACTGAGGGAGCTGGGCCTCTTCAGCCTGGAGGAGAGGAGACTCCGAGGGGATCTGTTGGCGACATGCAGGTACGTGAGGGGGTGTCACACGGAGGTGGGGAGAGGCCTGTTCTCCCCTGCAGAGGAAGGCAGGACGGGCTCCAATGGAGCAAAGCTCAGGGAGCCAAGATTTAGGGTGGATGCCAGGAAGTACTTCCTGACTGGACCCTGAGGGTATGGAATGGGCTTCCCCGGGAGGTGGTTGAGGCCCCATTGGTGACGGTGTTCAAGGACAGGCTGGACGTCCACATGGTGGGCATGTCATGGCTGGAGCCAGGGGTCAGGCTAGATGGCCCGGGAGGCCCCTTCTGACCCACTCTGTTTCTATGTTTCCTTGATCACAGAGGTCTACCCCAGCCCAGCTTGCATTGCTTGTTTGATACCAGCGATTTGGTGCTTTCAGTGAAAGCCTGTCCTACAATGCTTTGAGGACACAAAGGGAGAAGGAAAGGAGACACAGAAAAGGGAATCGCACGCTAAGAAGAAGTCGTATTTCAGAGGTCTGGCTGCTCAAACTCTCCCTCTGTACATTTTACTGACATGGACGTTTTGGGCCAACAGAGGGGAAAATTGATAGAACAGCAGATTTAGAAACTGGTTGAGCAGGATGTGGGCCATTTATCCAGGAGCGGAGAGAGTGGCACAGCATGTTTAGCCAGTAGTATTTTGGCTCATGGCCAGCATCTGTCTGATTGCTTTCCTTCAAGCCAATTCCAAGTGTTGCATCCCCAGAATATGTCCCCCTCCGTCGCCCCCCCAGCTTGATTCCTCCCGACGCAGAGCTTCGCCAGCAGAGAACCCGCACACGGCAGCTGACGCCCAATGTCAGACTTGGCCCGTAGCTTACAACCGGGGCCGGGGCCGGGTTGCGGTGGCCCCTCCACAAACGGAGCTTTCAGTGCACCACCCTGCGGTGCGGGCCCCTGGCAACTGCCGCTTACGACGAGGCCGAGGGAGGCCGATTCCGGTGGCTTCTGGCCACGTGGCTCTAAGCCACGGCTGGCCCCCCATTCAGAGAGCGAGGGGGCCGCCCCGGGTGCCGAGAGGGCTACAAGGGCCTCTAGCTCGCCCCCCCTGCCTGACGCATGGCAGGGATGCAGCGGGCCGTTGGCCAACACAGCCGCTGGCCTTGCATCTGCTGCTCCTCGATCCTGGGCAGCAGAGCTGCTGGAGGATGATGGGAGCTGTAATCTGAGCCCTCTAGAGAGCTGAGGAAGGCTGGCTAAGGGACTGGGGCACTCCACCGAGCCAGTGGGAAACCCATTTCGGCCAGCCTGTGCTTTGCGCTTGGGAAGGGCAGCTCCGTGGCAGAAGCCCTTTGCATGCAAGCGGCCCCAGCTCATCCCCACTGCGGCCTGCCAGGGTCGGGCCCAGCTGAGCACACACTGGGCGGCCCCCTCGCACAGGTGGCCACCAAGAGCAGCAGGAGGGAAAGGCATGAACTGTGCCAGAAAACAGGACCGTGGCTGCTCCAGGGGCTTGAAATGCTTCATGAAGCCCAGCGCATTCCAGAAAGGTTTTTCCCCTTGGGGGGTGCAAGAAAAATGCCAACGAAAACAACGCACACACTTATTTTCCGTTCACAGACTAGAACTGGATATACAAAGAACTGCCCAGAGGTAGACATGAAGGCTGGAACGCCCCTCTGCGGGTCAGTCTCTCGGCCCCTGGGCTGAGCGTTCTGCTTGCTGAGATTTGCGACAATACAGACCATACAAGCTTCCTCAGAAGTAAATGGGAAGACAGGAACCGAAGAACTGTGATACTTGGAAGAACTCAGAAGGAAAGTGTTTTGCAAGGACAGACGTCAGTCCCTCTAGATCTGAAAGGTTAGCAGGCCAGAGACAGAACCATGGCCCAATGCTGACCCGGAGTTTGGCCCAGCCTGGAGCGAGGGCAATTCTAAACCTCCTTCTAACAGAAAGTTTGCCTGTAACAGTTAGAACCAGTGAGTGGCCGAAAACCGAAGGGACGCTTCCAGTCTCCCGGGGGCTGTGCTGAAGAAGGGGGCAAACAGGGTGCTGAGGTCCATTCACACAGTGTTAAACCAGGGTTCAAAGGGACATGTAGGCACAGCCGGTGTCGGGGGCTGCAGCTGA